GTAGTGGAAACAAAAGAACCCCCTCCACTGAAAAAGATTAAGAGAAAAGGACTTACCGACGTAAAGATTTTGTGCATGCTGTGCTCGTAAAATATCCAGAAAATAGTCAAAATAATTAAATGTCACACAAAACTTTTCGCGGTATACGAAGCAAACTATATAAAGCAAAAAGCATTTCATGTGGACACCTTTGATTTGGAGTCGTTCCTAATAAATATTTTTGGAATAGTCTATTTTTGTTGAAGATTTACTGAAAAATTGTAAGTGTTCAATCGTTGTCTACACAAGATTTTATATTGTCTTGATTTGTACAACTGTTTTTTTTTTCATTGTCTCATGTTTGTTTTAGACCTTTCCTTTTTGCAGGCTGTGGTGTGGTTACAACCACGATGGCCGAGACTCCTTAACGTTTTGTTTAAATCTATCTTATTTTTATTATTTTTACACGGACTTACATGAGTGCGCTAAATATTTTTTGCGTAACAAATGTATTACGAGCCATTCAATATTTACTGAAAAACGTGTACACCTCGGAAAAAATAATTAGTGATTCCCACAACATCTGCATCTATAGTCAATCATCAACATCATTCTTAGATTCATGACTGGGTGTGGTTGCAGGGTCTTTACGATGCGAGATGACACCTGACCAGTTCGTATAGATAGGGTGAACGGCGGAGATGTATTTATTCATATGAAGCGGGTCATGCTCAAGTAGAACGGGTGGACCCCCCCACACACACACATAGAGCTTTCCAGGTGAAACCACTGCCAATGTCATCCAAATTATAGACTCATCTTGGTCACCATAGCCAGTGATTCCATTGAGTAGACCATCCGCCTTAGCCATTGACTTCAGTCAGGGAAGCCTCCCATCCAGAGGTGACGCGTCATAACCGCACTGGCTAGAGAGTCCAGCCAAACCCTGTTGTGCTAAATGGTCGTCGACCATATAAATCGAAATATTGTTTTTAATCCTGTTGGGTGTCTATCCACCCTTCTCACCAACAAAACCTGGTGGAGGGAATCGGTTTGGGCGATAATGGCCTGACCACGCAGTAAATATTAATAGTTTACAAGGTACCAGTATTACTCATTAATATTTCACACCAGTTTCTGATGATTAAGAATAGAAGCAATGGAAAGCTGATTATTCCCTACTCTGATATCTCAAGACATATTACAGGTAAGAAAGGCAGAGTGAAACATCGAATGACCTACGTAACGACCTTGCATAAATGGCTGACAGATTCAAATCGGTTGATTCAACATCCAGTTCTCCACCGCCTTAAGCGGGTATTGAACTCACACTCTTTGGGTCCTGTCACTGGATCCAACTAACGCCTTTATCTACTGTACCATGTGTCCTCAAGAGAACTTGGAGAGGGAATTAATCAGGAGGTAACTGATAACTGAATACCAGTAAACATGGCACGTGGAAATAGAACAGTCTACCCCAGTGAGCGAAATAAAGGGTTCAGTTCGATATTCCAACCAACTGAAGAAAGCCGGAGCGTACAACGGCCGAAACGTTGTAATAAATATGGCGACAAAGATGAAGACAATAGTCCGAATAATGTAAATAGTGATTTATATAATTGATTTTCTTTGCAGAATGGGTCAAATGATCCTTAATCCCAATTCAGTTTCAAATCCAAGAACTGCACCACCACCAACTTCTTTTTAATGTCAATACGTAGTCAAAATTTATTGTGTGTAAAATACAATTGTGGTACAAGGTAGAAAATGGGGAGTGGAAAGGGCTGAAGCTTGACATCACTTACTATCTTATACCTAGCTAATCAGATTCACAATCCATTTATTCATTACAATTTGCACATGCACCAAAAGAACTTACCCATCATCATTCAATCCTCCATCACAATATCTCATACATTCAGGAGATCTACAAAAACACTGTATGACATCAAAATTAAGGATTATACAATTCGATATATAAAGTCTGTCGATGATAGGTAATAATGGGTGAGGGAATGAACTCAAAAACAAACTAAAATATCAAAACAAAAATACAAAATAATAATGTTAGTTGGAACCTTCAAACTTTAAAGCCGTTGTATTCTGTCTTTAGAAAAAAAATCAAGAAACTCTGTCGCTAAAGGAGAGGGAAGGATAGTATAAATAGGACCATGGGGAAAGAAAAAATCTGACCTAGTCGAGATGAAAAAATGCCAATATCTAGTCACTGCTTTTTGAACAATTTCGTTTCTTTCCACCATTACTTAACCAGATTCAACATCGTCCCTACGTAAGACCTGGTAATCTGTACCTACAATTTTACACAATTTAAAAGACATCAAAATCTTTAATTGCTATTTCTTTCTTTAGCCTATATGTTTTTTTTTAAAACTTTTACGCGTTTTACTGCAGGGCGTAATCATTTTGTACCGGTTGATATATATAACTCTTTTATGCATGGACGCAAATGAAAACTGAAAGTTGCATAATTTAAATATTGATATTTCTACTGCATTATAATAATAATGGAATAGTTAACTTTATTTACGAGGAAGGTGCTTAAAAATAAAATAATATTAAAAATATATACAGTTGTACACGTATACACACACTTACATATCTCCAACTACAGAAATATAATTATAATTCAAATATTAATATACACATTTTATAAGTCCTATTTAAATATAATACAAATGTACGCACTAATAGCATGACCATATACAATGTGCTATATTTTATATATTATATATATATATATATATATATATATATATATATATATATATATATATAATCTCTCTCACACACACACATATATATATATATATATATATATATATATAATCTCTCACACACACACACACATATATATATATATATAATCTCTCTCACACACACATATATATATATAATCTCTCTCACACACATATATATATATAATCTCTCACACACACATATATATATATAAATCTCTCTCACACACATATATATATATAATCTCTCTCACACACACACATATATATATATAATCTCTCTCTCACACACATATATATATAATCTCTCTCTCACACACATATATATATATAATCTCTCTCACACACACACATATATATATAATCTCTCACACACATATATATATATAATCTCTCTCTCACACACACACACACATATATATATATATATATATATATATATATATATATATATATATATATATATATATATAAATGAGAAAAAACAGATGCAGTAAAATCCACAGTTCGTAACATTACTTTTCAATAAAAAAGTAGTTATATATTTTATATTTTATTATAAGAGATTATAATCAAAACATTTCAAATCGCTACACAAAAGATGTTATTTTATATATATATATATATATATATATATATATATATATCGATAACAATTTTTGCATAACTCTGATGTGAATACCTTTTCTAGTCATCATGTGTGAAAACACTGCGCATGTGCAGAGACATCATTTTTAGATTCGCATTGTCACCAGGGAGAAGATCTTGAGTAAATTTGTGCGCTCTGTAATTTGGGATTTGTAATGATTGAACAGTGAAATTATTCTTACTTTGTCCAGGTTATTTTGTATCAACATCACCCGTGTCTTTCCTATCCTCATTCAATTCTTTGTGATATTTGGTTTTCTAAAATTCAAAATTCCTTCTCTGTATAAAATGTCCAGCTATTAACAAATAACTGATGAATAAAATCACCTATTTTTCCTTGATGTATACATATATAAGGGGCATAAGATGAGGAGAGGACGTGGAAAATTTATTAACGACTTTTCTCGACGAAACGAGTCGTTTATAAACTTTCCACTTTATAACAGGTTCACTTTTGTTTCAGATATTAATATACATGTTAAAAAAAAAGAAGCATAAATATATACACATCCCGGTCTTTAATTAGGTATACTCTTCTTGTACAGGCTTGAAACTTCTTTTCCCTTTGCGATCATCTCAATTTTTTCTTGACATTGATTCATCGATCTTCTGGAAGCATTCTATTAAAATCTGGGCCCATGCTGATACTAGGATATCAAGAAAGGTTTCTAGATTGGTTGCCTGCTCATCAGATATTCTGATGCACCTTACTGTATGTTAGATATGGGATTTATTGGAGGAGATTTTAACACAGTAAATGCATTGGTACCACTATTTTTGATTGGTGACACAATGCATTGTTTTACTGGAATTGACCACGAGAAAATGGATGTACTGTAATTCTAATTCTAAATTGTGGCACTTGGTTAGCCACAGTATTTAGTTAGTCTACGGAATTTAATGGACATTTTGTTGGCACGAAGCTTTCGAACATACACTAAGAATTCATCTCTAAACCTTTACGCTGACAAGACCAAACTGAAATATTGATATAGTGCAAAATCAATCCATATCTTCATATTGTTTACGCCAAACTCTGATCATCTTACTATCTTTTGTCAGATCATAAATCGACTCGTCAAACCAAGCACCGTTTTTCAAATCTTTTACTGTCTAATTTTTGTGACCGGTAGCAAATTGTAGCCTCAGTTTCTCGTACTTATAAATTTCTGCTGCTGTATTCAGTTTTCTTCAAGTTCGACCTGTCATCGTTGTAAGGAGTATTCATTTTATCTATTGTTGTCTTTCTATCAGCTTCTACCAGTCTGGACATTCTCATCGCACCTGCTTTATCAACAACGTATTTCCCCCCAAATAACTTTGTTATCCAGCGTTTTTCAGAGAAGCATCATCATCATTTATTCATTTAGTACATTTTGCGCCTCTGTGGTAATGGATAATGGCCCATTAATGTCCACAGATATTCCCCCAGAATGTAAATTGGCTGAATCATACGTAATTTCGGTTTTGGGGAACGGAGTATAATGACGAATGTATTCTATTTATAACTAGACCTAATACGTTTCGAATACTTTCACCTTCTTTGCAAAAATTAAATCAATTGATATTTTAGTTCGGTTACTTAATTCTTTTGATCCTCACTCGATCTGCTTTGGCTTATGGCCATATCACGTTGAAACACCGGTTCTCGTACGATCACCGAAGTTAAGCAACGTCGAGGCTGATCAGTAACTAGATGGGTGACCGCTTTGGAATACCAAGTATCGTAAGCTTGGATGTGAGGTTGGTGTAAGAATAATGGCTCTTAATTTTCAATCGGAGATCCGAGTTCGAATCCCGTTGGGTTCGTTATATTCACTTACGCGCAAATTGCCTTGGGAACACCCCTTCTTCTCACAACCAAATCTTATATCACTAAAAATATTATTACCCCTACCCAACAAAATAGATAAAATTGCATAAAAATATTTACATTTCGGCATTAAATAATCCTTAGTGGTTGATATGTCGCTAACAATCTGCCTTGGTTACCTACCGTAGGATGCATTTTTATCGCAGGTCAGTGCTTTTGAGTCCCAGCAGGCCTTGTACCAGACTAAGCCAAAGTGAGTAAACGTGTACAGCGTTCCATACATTTTACAATTTAATTTATATACCGACCTCAATTGTGAAACCAGCACGCACACAGATATGTAAATTTTCTGAAATGGTAGAAATTCATGCTGTTTGCTTAGGAAATTATATATAATTTGTTCTCGTGTATATATGTGTCTCCTTGTGGATTTGGAAACTTGGGGATGAAATAAATAAAAAGAAAGCAGCGCTTTATATCGAGCAGACGTTTTTGCGAAGAAAAATTCTTCTAATTTACTGAGCGATACACAAAAACACCAACAAAATCACCACCTCCCCAATAAACATACGTCTGTGTATAGACACTCACAGTAGTCACCGTATCTTGACAAGAAAACGTTTTGCGATGCTAATATCTGGAAAGGTCGATTTACTGAAAAGAAGCCCAGCAAAGGACTCAGTTTGGACTGCCTACGGCTATTCAATGATATCTTGGACGTACGGAGTCATTGACCTGTAACAGACAGCTCTAGACGCGAAAGCCCGCCTGGCATAAGGTCACTTGGTGCATGGTCGAGGCTCCTTTCAAAAGCGGTTTTTAGTCTTTTACTGACGGGTACCGCAATTCAGTAGAAATGTTGCCTTTGTTCATGGACAGGGAATTCGTAAATGTCATTCGACCGATAAGAGTTTTTCGAAAGGTTTTGGCACCTGTCTGTGAGAGGTTTTCCTATTTTCGTCATTTCTTTGCAAAATTACAGCGATAGATAGATAGATAGATAGATAGATAGATAGATAGATAGATAGATAGATAGATAGATAGATAGAAGTTCGTGTCCGTTCCTATTCAAAAGTTTATGTACTCATATATCTGCTCGTATATGTATGTAATCGCTGGCTGCTCGTTTCAGAGTGTGCCTATATATGCTAGCATAGATAACCCGTGTTGCAAATGCCGGTCCAGGCTCCTTTATGCTTCTTCAACTTACCACGAAGCCAATCTGAAGTTTGTAATTCAATTATGCTACTGTTTCTGGGAGAGTGCGTATAATCAGGCGTGATCAATAATTTGAACAAAGCCAGAGTATTCAAACACTTGGTCATAATGACTTGTAAACCATCGATAGATCCTAGAAAGTTCCGTTCACTCAGAAGGCTTGGCTCAAAACGTGCCATATTTTTCAGATACTTCCCAACAGAGTCAAACTTTATGATCGCCTCCCTTCAGACCTATATTATCAAGAAGTTATTTTGCTATCAGGCAAGGTGATAAAGCTACTAAATTGCATTGGCGGGAGTTTCTGAACGTGATGGAAACTGGGAAATATTACTGGGGAGAAAGGACAAAAATGAACGGACTCCAAGAGACAGAATGTGACGATTAACGTTGCATATGAATTTTTTGAGTATCATAGTCTACTGGAAATCAAGAAGATGGAGAAGACCTCTATATACGAGAAGTCAGAAAGACGAAAGGTTTAGATTAGAAATTATAGTTACATTTAGCAATTTCATCAGTAAAATGATGTGACCTAGCTGGCAATTTAGTACCACATTTAAATTCATTAACTCCAGGCATCAAAGAGAGAAATTCATGAGAACTATTACCATGAATAGATTTATAGAAAAGAACCTATAACATTGCATATTTTCTTTGGGATTTTGTCATGTTACATAGTCAAAGAACCACACCGGATGTTGCAACAATATTAAATGCACTGATAAATGGTAGACTTATAAATGTGCAAGCCATGTTCGATTGAAAATAATTTAGTTAAATAAAATGACATTAACATGCAGTATATATATTGGGAGTATTCGAGGAGAAATATTTATCCATGTAACTTTTATTAGCGATCAAAAGGAGTTCTGTGTTATATTTGTTTTCTGTCTGAGTATCTGGGGTTGGAATCCTTTTATTATTCAAATCATTTACGGTGGGACAAGTGTCATTATCTTTGTATTTATTGTCCCAATATTTTGCCCACCAGCAAGGGGTAAGAGCTTAGTCGATTAAAAATCTACTCGTTAATTTAATAGCATATTGATTCAATCCCTTGACAGAGAGGTACACAATCAGACGCAATTAAATCAGGGCTCCCAACAAGTAATAATAATAAGAAGAAGAGATATCTCAAGGAGTCTAGCATCAGCCATGCTGATGGCGGGCAGGAAAGTTTCACTATGGTCGTTATATGAGAGCAGATTCGTTTTGGAGGCATTAAAATTTACAAGCCATTTCCTGCTCCAGATCCTTTTCAAGAAAAACGGCCAGGTTAACTTTGTCAGCTCTGTCGGATTTGAAGACAGGAGTAAATGGTACTGTCATCTGTATAAATGCCTACTTGGGAACCGATGACCTCACAAAGATCATTAACGAAGATCAGAAACATCGTAGGACCCAAGATAGAGTGTTGGGGGACACCCGCGTTCGTGTGAAAACGACCTTCATTTCCCGTTCAAAACGACCTTCATTTCACGATTTGATAGGAACGATTTGATTAAATAAAACAGTTGTCCTATAATACCATAGCACTGAGCTTACATAGAAGACCAACATGCCAACAAACCCTGTCAAACACTTTCAAGATATCTTCGCCGTTATTATCAAGAGCTTAATATATACATTAGTCGTTATAAAACAATGAAGACCAATTGTAATATTCAGGATATTTTGCATATGTAAGAATTACAATAGTCATAACCTGGTTGGGGTCAGATCTTGTCTCCCATTAATTATCTAGACTATAACGTCGGATACTTGTCGGAACTGTTTTTGATTAGTTCATCAGACTATTATGATGTCATATCCTTTTTGGACCATTTCTGGTTAGCTCGTTAAGCTATGACGTCATATCCCTCTTGAAAGTGTTTCTGTTTTGCTAAACACGGACGTCATGTATTTGTTGCAAGCGTTTCTGATTGGTTCAAAGGAATAAGACTTTATCGCCAAGATATTCCGAATTTCATCTATTTTAAGATATGATGAAATTTACGTGCATCTCTCTGTTATCTTTGCCATTAATACAGCTTCACGTAAAGACGCGCGGTAAAAAAAAAAATCTCAGATTTGCTTGTGCCTACATCGGCCCATAAAGCATCAACAACTTAACTGGTTTGTCATTGCTCACTGTCTACATTCTCAGGCCGATATTATATGCAATTGCATCAAGGCCGAAATTGAAAAAAAAAACACAATAATATCTATACGTATAAAAATCTGCTGCGCTAAAGATAGACAGTGAAAACGATTGTCCATAACACTGAAGGCCTTAAAACTTACACCAAGATGTCAAAGCACCTCCTTAAATAGATAGATAGATAGATAGATAGATAGATAGATAGATAGATAGATAGATAGATAAAGACATGAAGAAACATCGTTTTAGTGATATGTAGATCTGAAGAGAATACATTGAGAATATATAGATCCGATTTGTTAGAGATAAGAGGGGATGCTCAAATGTATTCATCCTGAACAAAATGTAATAGAATGAAATGAAGAACAAATTGAGATAGAATAAATGCATAGATAAATTAAGAGCGAGAGAAAAGAGAGAGATGTGAGAAGGAGGAGATATATAGAGGTTTATGAGTCGAATGATAGATTGATAGAGAGATATATGAAGATAGATAGATATATAGATAGATAGATAGATAGATAGATAGATAGATAGATAGATAGATATGAACAAACTGACATAGATAAGAACAGACTGACATATATATATATATATGTGTGTGTGTGTGGAGCTAGTGTGCGTGCGGATGAGATATATTTAAGCAGCAAATATTCCTTCAAATATGTTTGATTAAAAAAACGAACCTTCTCGGCTCTTTTTATAAGAATGTTAAAAAGATTTGTTTTTTTTTTTTTTTAATCAGACTTGCTTGAATATATATATATATATATATATATATATATATATATATATGTGTGTGTGTGTGTGTGTGTGTGTGTGTGTGTGTGTGAGAGAGAGAGAGTTGATTGAATTATATGAAAATTGACTGACAGGTGATAATTTATTTCGTGGACTGAGACGTTCATCTCTTCAGACCAAATTTTAAAATTTAAAGGAGGTTTATTTTCTTGTGTTTCACTGTCATAAAATTTCTTTAATAAAATGTTATTGTGGGAATTACTTATACCGTCAATATTACTATTACAGGAATAACTAATTTTTAGGGTTTTTCTATTAAAATCTATCTCAAAGGATTGTTATGATTGAAATGTTTGTCCATTAAAGTGAAAAAATATAAGCCTATATTAATATTAGCTAATTTACAGAAAGGTGGGTTAAATAACATTGTCTTTCTTTTTCTGTTTTTAGTTTTATTAGTTGGATTGTTTTTTAAAGTTTCCTGGTAACTTAATTCTTGTTTGAAAATACGTTTTTGATGCTTCATTATAAATGTATTTATTCTCATTGAAGATTTTATTGAAGACGATAATCCGTTAATTTTAGTGTTAACAATATTGGGGATTTGATTAATTATTGAATTAGGGTGATTAGAGTTGACATTAATATAGATGGTAGCTTGATTTTCTTTATAAAATAGTTTGAATGTGTTGTTAGATAGGTTGAAAGTGATATCTAAGAAATTAACAATTTACATATATATATATATATATATATATAGATAGATAGATAGATAGATAGATAGATAGATAGAATTTAATATATATCTAGATAGATAGATAGAAATTGACTCAAGTTGATATGAATTCACTAAAAAGAAAGATAGATAGAGTGATTGATTGATTTTAATATATATGTAGATAGATAGATAGATAGATATGAATTGACTGAAAAGAAAGATAGATACGTATCTAAAATATAACAGCAATATATCTCATACAAATAATTGTGTATACATATGGATTGTATAAGATAAGCGTACACGTTTTAAATATGAAACAAAACACTCCCCTGGGATATATGTGAATGCATGCATATATATATATATATATATATACACAGACACACACACACACATATATATATATATATGGTCACAGAGTGCTTGCCTTCATATTTAAAACGTGTACGCATGTCTTATACTATTCATATGTAAATCATTTGTTGGAGGAGGTATTTGATATACTTTAGATACGTATTTATCTGAATATCCATATATATATATATATATATATATATATATATATATATATGGAGGGGTATGTGTGTGTGTGTGTGTGTTTTTGTTTATGTTCAGGCATTCAAAATCCCATAACTCTCTAAGTACAGTGAGTTGTCTGTAAACGTCATGTCGATGTAGTCGACTTTAATCCAGCTGGCGTAGATAAAGAAAGGTGTGCGCGGGGTCTGGCCAAACAGTCTGACATTTGACAAGTTCGCCGAATTTACTATTGAATTTGAAAAGTAGCTCCAGCAGAGAATTACATTATCCATGCAACGAGTGACAAGGGTTGATTGCGTAATCAAATCTGCGGCTGTACAAGATCGAAAATTGTCCCAATGGAGGCGTTGTGGCCAAACGAGACGGTCATCACTCTGCATCTGTGAGTGGAAATTGTGACGAATTGTGACGAAGTTGGGTGATTATATTTGCGTCTGGGCAATATCTTTGAGTTTTTATTTAAAACCTGGGTGAAGATATGAAGAGTGGCGTTGGGGATGTTTTTTTTTTATAAAAACAAAACAGAAAAGAAAGAAAGAAAGAAAACACGACAATGGAAATATGAAAAGGAAAGAAATATAACGTACAACGTGCATTAACGATGAAGTGACGAAAAGGAAGAAAAACACAACTTGAAAGGAACAGACGAATAATGAAAGGCAAATAAATACAGGAAGAAATATAAGGAGATCAAGAGTGAGGAAGAAAGAAAGTAAGAAAGAAAGAAAGAAAGAAAGAAAGAAAGAAAGAAAGAAAGAAAATACGACAAAGGACATATGAAAAGGAAAGAAATATAACAAACAACGTTCATTAACGAAAGTAACGAAAAGGAAGAAAAACACAACTTGAAAGGAACAGAAGAATAATGAAAGGTAAATAAATACAGGAAAAAAATTTATGGAGATGAAGAGTGAAAAAGAAAGAAAGAAAGAAAGAAAGAAAGAAAGAAAGAAAGAAAGAAAGAAAGAAAAGTGAGATTTGAAATGGAAAAGGAAAGAAAAATAACGAACAAAGAGTAGTTAGGATAAAGTGATGGGGGAAAAGAAAAATAACTTGGCAGGAACAAGAAAAAAGGGTAAAAAACAAAATATAGGAAATATATGGAAAAGAAAGAAAGAAAGAAAGAAAGGTAAGGGAATGAATAAACAACTTAAAAATTAAATCTAAGCCAGCTGAATTATCGACAAGATTTAGAAGGAAAAGAAAGAAAATAGATTAATGATGAATAAAAAATAATGAGAAAAACGGAAATTTAAATAGAGCAAAAGAATAAAATTGTGGCAAGGAAGGAGGGAAGGAAAAACGGAGAAAAGATAAAAAAAAAGAAAGAAATATAAACGGAATGGGCAGATAGAAAGATAGGGAGGAGAAAAACAGAAAAGAAGAAAAAATGTAGGAAGAAAAAAAAGGAAAAGGTTTTAATGAGAGAAATCGAAAAGAAGAAGACGAAGAAGAAAAAGGAGTGAAAGTGAGGTAGGAAAAGAACAGAAGGGACGAATAAAATAATGAACAAGAAAAAAGATGAGAAGAAGAAAAACGGAAAAGAAGAATACAAGTGCGAAGAAGAAAGAGATCAAAGTAGGAAGGAGAAAAACAGAAAAGAAGAATAAAAGTATGAAAAAAGAGAGACAGAAGGGAAAGAAAAAACAGAAAAGGTAAATAAAAGTAGGACGAAGAAAGAGACAAAGGTAGGAAGGAGAAAAACGAAAAGGAACAATAAGAGAGGAGAGAAGAAAGAGAGAAAAAACACATAAAAGATGAATAAAAATAGAAATAAGAGAGAGAGAGAGGGGGAGAGAGAGGAAGGTGGGAAAGAGAAAATGGAAAAAGCGTTATCACCTAGGAAGGGTCACTGAATGAAGAATAACCAAAACGGAGGTTTGAAATGAAATAGTAATCTTTATAACATCAACAAAATACAATACTCGCCAGCGGCATGAAGTAGGTAAACCACTGCTAGTGGTGAACTACTTAGACAGCATATGTGCTACCCACTTACAATAGTGTCCAACGTATTTATGAGGATTGGGATATACCCATTAGTGTTCATAGGTAAAGAAGATTATATAGGTAATGATATACAAGGAAGGAAGGAAATAGATAAAAAGGTAAGAGGATGAAGAAGAGAACCAAAATAGAATAAACGTAGGAAGATGAAATTAAAAAAAAAGAAACAAAGAAAGAGAAATCAAAACGAAAACGAAAAGAAAAGAGATACAAGGAAGAAAAAACAATCCAATGATTGTAAAAAAAAGGTTGAAAGAGACAGTCATTTGTACAAGAGTAATTGAAGAAAGAAAAGGGAATAGGAAAGAAAAAAGACATGAATGAAGTCAAAAGCAAAACATGTTGAAGAAGCTTCGAAAAACTAGGCAAAAAGAAGGGGAAGTGGCGGAGAAGAAAAGAAATTTAAAGAAATTACAAATACAAGAACAATGAAGGAAATAAGTAATCTTGAAAGGAAAAAGAAGAAAGACTGAAAAATGTATAAAGAACGTGAAAGAAAAAAAGTGAAAATTAAAGAAAAACAGAAAAGAATGAAAATGGTAAATTATTTAGACGATAAAGAATTCAAATAAAAGAAAAAAAGACAATGAATGATATAGAAAATAAAGAAAAGAGAAACGAAAAAAAAGGGGAAAAAAGCAAAGCAAACAGAAAATATATAATCTAAGAGAAGAATATAAATAAAATGAAAAAGGAAGTAAAAATAGTATACGATCTGGAAAAGAAGAAAAAATAAGCAGATATTCAGAAGAAAATGAACCAAAAAGAAAAAAAAGAAGAGAAACGAATTATAGATGACATAAAAACGAACGAAAGGGGAAAAGAAAGCAAATCGATAGAAAAAGAAAGGTGATATGATCTAAAAGAGAAAGAAATAATAAAATGACAGAATTAAAAAATATATGATCTAGAAAATGAAAAGAAAGAAAATACAGTCAAGTAAAAGAGCTATAAAGAAAAAGAAAAAACGATAAATACAAAAAGCAGAAATCGAGAAAAAAAAAGAAGTATAACAAAGTGAAAGAAAAATAAAGAAGATATGATCGAAAAGCAAAAGAAAATAATTAAAATGACCGAATAAAGATCTAGACAAGTAAAAACAGGATAATATAGATTAGAAAAAATGAAAAAAGAAAGTAGAAAGAAAAATACAAAAAGATGATGTAGAAAATGAAGAAAAAAATATAAGCAATCCAAATGAAAAATAAATATATCATCTAAAAAGAAAGAACTTAAAAGATAGAAAAAAAAAGTATATGCTCGTGCAAAGTATAAAAGAAAAGAAAAATATAATCGAGAAAGAAAGAAAAAAAAGAAAACGGAATAAAAAAGAAAGAAAAATTATCTGAAAGAGTAAAAGACAAGAATAGTGAAGAAACAAAAATGTAAAGGTGCCAAATAAATAACAAAATAAAGAAAGAAAGAAAGATAAAGACGTACAGAAAAAAGGAAAAAAAACGATCAAAATTGATAAATACTAGGAAGGTGTCCATGTTTGAATTGAAGTAGTGGCAGGTTTCGTAGGAAATCAGGCTTCGTAACGGTGTGCGCATGTCAGAATTGTAGACTTCTTGACGGACTGTAGTCAACAAATGATTGATAGATGTGTATATATTGCCTTTGACCGACAATACTCGAATCTGGCAGATCGAACAGCGTCTAGAAACAGTCACTTGACCGAATCTCATAACTACTAAAGGGAAATGAATAGAAAACAGACGCCGGTCAAACTGTCTCGATTGGCTGCATCAATCCGACAAAAACAGCAAGTATATATATTCACCCACAAATTCCACTGGCATTAAAAAAAATTTTCCAGTCTATCAAACGAACAAAATGACTGTATCAATTTTATGAGCATATCTTAATATCTGTTTGAAACAAACAAACGCACTCACACACACACACAGAGATGTTTATGAACATATCATGTTGAAACACCAGTACGATCACCTAAATTAAGACTGGTCAGTACCTTGATGGGTGACTACTTGGGAATACCAGTTGCTGTAAGTTTGGATGTATGGGTTGTGTATTTGATAACGGCTCGGAATTGTTAATCGGAGATCCGAGTTCTAATTTCAGTATGGTTCGTTAGATTCATTTTACGCGCAAATAACCTTGGAAAGGTGGGAATCGACGTCTTTTCCCCACCCAGCTCTGTGTTCATTAGTAAGACTTGTTTCCATAATTCATTATTATTTGGAAACAAATTCTTACAATCTAAATCTATCTTCTGGCTTTAAATAACCCGCAAAGGCTTGATCAGCCGTAGATGATTCACACACACACACACACACACACACACACACACGGTAGATATTTATTCGGGCAAAATACATTCCTTGTTTCCAAAAATTCAGACCTCCAGATTTAGGACCCCTATCTACGGTCTTCCCCTTCCATTGGTGAGTAAGAATTTCCAATCAGATTCTTCCCCAGAATTGTTGCATTATGAAACACACTGAGCGGCTGCTTCCCTCATCAGTACAATTATAACCTCTTCAAGTCGAAGTCATGGCTATAATGATAAACTGAAACCGACAGGAAAGCTTCTGTTTTGAAGATTGGAAGTTTCGAGGATCGTGGGACTACCACCTTATTTGCTGTGATTAAAGGTCTAAGCTGATCCAGGCTGGTAGCACATGTTAGGTTCCTAACTATAGGCAAATAGTCAACACCCAAACAAAAGCAAAACACAATGAAAGTATGAAAATACGTTCTCATTGTAAAGTTACCAACAATACATATTTATCGGAAAATGATTAACATTACATCTTATCGTAGAATTACCAACAATGTATGTTATCTGTAGTTGAAGACTTGCAGTTGTTCCGAAATATTTAGATTTTGCCGTTAAATAACCCATAGAGGTGTTGATATACCGCTAAATAAAATCAACCAAAGTCAAATATTATTTATTCTACATATTCCCATAATATTCACCCGTTACTCTCCCTGTATATCCTACAATAACCTCATTTAGTAAGAATTTTCTAGAAGCCTCTTGTCATTTTTTTTCTAATTAAAATGTATATATATATATATATATATATATATATATATATATATATATATATATTGTGTATATTTAGGCAGGAATTTTTCATTGATGCACGTTTCATTAAATAATATAGTGATAGATATGGTGATTTCTTTTCGTCTTTCAATGATAATGTTATTAAGCTTATCAGACAATATGAAAGCAACTTACTTAAAATAAATAGACAAAACTTGTCTATATTATTTAATGAAGCATGCTTCCATATATATATATAAATAGTAAAGGTACTCCTTTGTTGGTATATAATCCAAGTGGATCCTAGTAATAAAAAATTTGGAAATTGTTCCACAAAAAGAACTTAAAATATTTATTAATATAGAGTTAATAATATATATATATATATATATATATATATATATATATATATATATATATATGTGTGTGTGTGTGTGTGTGTGTGTGTGTGTGTGGAATTGGACAAAATAGAAAATATCTATGTAACGCGTTTATAACCTTTCCTTTTTTTCATCAGACAGATCTTTTATATTGATGAACTTCCCTTCGAATTATGTATTGCACATCGATGCTAATGTTTAGCAAGAATACCTCGGGAGAATAATTACAACTGAGTAGTGAGTTTGATTCTAAAATAGATGTCCCATATGTACGGCCTTGTGCCACATCTAAGCTACACTAAGTAAAGTTCACGGATTAAACTTCGCCGATAATTCTTTGAATCAGAATAATATGAAACAAAGACAAAATCCCTATCCAGAAATATTTTAACTGATTTTTAAAATGTCCGAAACGTTTTAATTCTCTCCCTTGGATTTCGTGTTTTTGCAATGTCTTTCAGAAGTACTCTCATCACTCGCTTACCGATGGCTATATTCGTTACTGTCAAAGCCCATATTTTCTCTTTTCATTTCTAACATAAATCTAATATTTTTCTAGTATTTAATCTGAAATTTTCTAGAAAGACAAGATACACAGCTACATAGATTCCTGTTTTTGTTTACGATGACGATTTATTATCCTGTAATTTCAGAATACCAAAAATGAATTTATTTTCCAAGACATCTTATGGATTATGCATATATCATTGGCTAGCATGATTTAGTCCCATTTGTTCGCACAGTTCACTGTGGATCAGGTTTCCAACCGAAATATGTCTGTATTAGACTCTCCTAGATCTAATCACCTATGTTATTTCCAGGAAAAGAAACGTATCCTTGCCTCTCTACAGGTGATGTTTGTTATTTTGTCTTTTGTGAAGAACTTTCATTTGTTTTTATCTGTTATTATTGGATATTGCTTTGCTCTTTTTAAATGATCATTTCATATTCACTTCTACGTCCATTTTTATAGAGTTGATTTCTTTATCATATTTTTCAAGTTCCTTTTTTATTATTTTAACTTCAAAGTAGTTTTCTTTGTGCATTGTAAAGTTCCATAAAATTGTTACAGGTCCTATGTCTTCAGCTGGGTCTGGGTGATGTTCATACATCAGTCTTGCAGTTTCATTTGCCCACTCTGCAATGCCGAGTTTTATATACCGTTGGTACTAAGCGTGCAACGTAATACAAGATGGGCAAAATTCTGCGGGGATATATATTACAGAATCTGCATTTCGGATTTACACAATTTTTCCCTATGTGTGCTTGGTAATTTCTAGTAAACAAGCATTGGTCTTGTCTAGGAAGAATTAAACCTTCGATTTCAGCTTTCAAACCTGCACTGCGTAACCACTGATGGATACCGGGTTTGTTTACATAAGCTTGTCTGGTACGGGCAGAGTATTGACTATGAAGAGGCTTATTTTTCCATTGATTTTGCATTTGGTCCATTGCATTTGCTTTTACTTTCTTTTTAGGCTCTTTACAACTGCAATAGTTGTATTATGGTTTACTTGCATTTTTTTTATTCACTTGAAATTACATATTGAATTTGTTGGATTCCTTTCTTACTGAATAACGTTTCCTAGTTCTTTGATAAAAAACCATTATCCAGTCTTCTGTCGTTTCCAGCTATCGTTGAAAACCGACTGGTGTGGATTTTAGTTGAACTATTCATCTGCGTCCTTTGGATCTTGACACATACAGACGACCAATATGAGCCTTGGGATGATGCATGCGGTGGCAAGTGAGAAGCTTTCTCGTTTTAACAACCATTCGTTTAATGTTAGCTATGTTCGAGTTAAGGAAGTTGAAACGGTATTACATCATAACGACAGTCAATATTTATGGCTGATATTCTGTTTTGTGAATTCAACTCTATATTTAACACCAGACACACACGCCTGTAGTATTCCCTTCTCACTGCTTCATATGGCTATGTTGTATTATTATTATTACCGTTATTATTACCGTTATTATTATTATTATTATTATTATTATTATTATTTCCTTTGATTTCTGGCGTGTACACATTTCTTTTCGGGTCCCGCCCAGAGACCTAAGGATAGAAATGGCATCATGACACTTTCCACTGACAAAATATGTATATATTTTTTTTACACAGATAAAGCCCTTCGTAAAATGTGGGCTGTACTCGTGAGAACAATTCTTTGTATTTCTTTGAGGCATGGCCTTCTAGGAAATCCTTCAATTAGTCTACTGGAATCTTTTCCAACCAATCCTAGGGCTCCAACTACAACAGGGATTGCTGATGTTCCCATGTGTCACATTTTTGAGATTTCATTATCATCATTATTATTATTGTTGTTGTTGTTGTTGTTGTTGCTGCTGCTCCTCAGAGTGCCGAGTTCCAATATCCTTTGATTTCATTATATTCACTTACGCGCAAATATGCTTGCAAAAATATGAATACGGTATTAATAAGAAAGATTAGTATCACTAAAGCATTATTAGCTCCAAAAAATCTTTTTAGCAATCTACAAATATTCTCTGATTTTAAGTCACAAGCATAACAGTTTATAAGCCGTAAAAACGAATCAATATTATTATTGTTGTTGTTGTTATTATTATTATTATTATTGGTGTTGTTTTTATTACTATTATTGATGTTATTATTATTATTGCTTTTATTATTATTATTATTGTTGTTGTTTCTATTACTATTATTGCTGTTATTATTATTATTGCTTTTATTATTATTGTTGTTGTTGTTATTATTATTATTGCTTTTATTATTATTGTTGTTATTATTGCTTTTATTATTATTGTTGTTGTTATTATTATTTTTTTTATTATTATTGTTGTTATTATTATTATTGCTTTTATTATTATTATTGTTGTTATTGTTATTATTATTATTATTGCTTTTTATTATTATTGTTGTTGTTGTTATTATTATTATTGCTTTTATTATTATTGTTGTTGTTATTATTGCTTTTATTAATATTGTTGTTATTATTATTATTGCTTTTATTATTATTGTTGTTGTTATTATTATTGCTGTTATTATTACTATTATTGTTGCTGTTGTTATTATTATTGTTGTTATTATTATTATCGTCGTTATTATTAT